TTTTAATTGAAATAATGTTGCAGGATGTATACAGGGACGGTATCAGAAATTGGAAAATCATTTATGGACAGTTTTGCAAACTGAAATATTATCCACGAAACAATGAAAAAATTGGTAACCAGATTCTTAATGAATATATAAGAGTATATAAGAGTACAGGATGGACATATAGTAAAAAGAAATTTTCTTTATTTTTTATATTATTGCAGTTCTATATTGAGTGTAACATTGCATTTTACTGGTAAAACGCATTATTTAATAAAATAAATATATAAAATTCATTAAATTTCATAATTCTTTTTTTAAATAATTTTTTTAAATAATTGTTAACAATTAAGATATCCACGTAATATTTATGTACGAAAGCATGCACAAATACGTATATTCGATGTTTGTTGAATCGCGCGAAATAAATAAAACAAATTGGTAACGCTTCGTTTGCTTCAGAAATTCTATAGTAATAAAAAGAAAAAAAATGAGATTAAAACTGTCGTCAAAAAAAAATGTATGTGTGTATATATATATATATAACTGTGTATGCAACGTGTACCCAAGTTTGAACGAGGAGGAATTCCTGGACAACTTTTCCAATAAATCTACCGTCGGGAACGGGCTATTCGGTATTCTGCAAAGCTCAAGTCGAATGTGTACTTTCCCGCGCGATGCATAATGGATGAATACGGTTTTCGCGGTATCCCATAGAACAATTAATATCGCGGTTTTCGATGAAATTAACGCGGTAATAATTTCCTCGCATTTATTCGAACAAAAATTTTTTTCTTTTTTTTTTTTTTCGTTTATTATTGTTTAATAAAATTTAAGCAGTTTCGACTATAACACTTTAATATTGATGATATACAGGACTGAAGGAAATTCGAAATATATTGTTCGAGATAAAATAAATAGTTGGAATATTTTCATAAATATATTTGAAAATAGTATTTCGTTTAATGTTTAAATCGTAAGTAAAAAATAGAAAAATATAATGTATTTTATAATTTTTTTGATATTTTTTTTTGATATTACTTTTTTTAATATTTTATTGTATCTATAAGGTTATCTTAAAAAATTTAATACAATTTCAATAACGAGATTATATTGTACCCTTTAATATTTCAAATACTTTGATGAATACGTCGGAAATTTGATAGTTTGATCAAAATAATATATGATATTTTACGTAACAGGTATATGATATTTATCTAATATATTATTCAATCCAAAGATTCGACTCGAGAAAATTTGATCTGGAACGCGTACTTTAATACGTTATTTATTCCAATAATCCGTGGAAGTGTGATCTAGATTAATGAATCGGGATTTGAAAGTGCGAGAATAAAGAAAATCGAGAAACTTCATCGTTAAAACGTGGAAATTCGCGATAGAATTAATTCAAGCAAAGATAATTAACGGTTAAACGAAACTCGTTTTAAGGCCGCATTCTCGCAAAGAACCTTGAAGAGAAATTTCCTGCGGCAACCGCTACTTTTTTTCTCCTCTCCTCTCAGCTGGGACACGACAGCTGGTACAAAGCGATTCCCTCTACATCATACCACGTCGTGTTATTAATTTTGTCAGATGATCATTAATAATTCTCACGTCGGGTTGGTGGGAAACTGCGACTTAATCACCACGATTTTTCCATAAAAGCGGTATTCTGTGAATTCGATAACGAATAACCGATTCAACTTCTGTCATTCTCTTTTCCTCTTTAGTACGGATAGATATATGTATGCGTGTGCGTGTGTGCGTGTATAATTTACGCACACATCTATCTTTTTCTTTTTTTTTTTTTTTTTTTTTTGATTAATGATGTTTTTTTCCTAGAAGAATACGGTCGTATAAATTATACGCGTATAAATGCGTTCGTTGCAGAATTGCTCGACGAATGGCCGAATGATTAAACGTTCCATTTGAAATTTCTTCGATATTTATTTGTCATCTCCATCGTTTAAGTCGATCGAGGCCAATTCGAAGATCGATCGATTAAGAATTAAGATGGAAATAAGACAGTACATTGACAAAAGTGTCATCGATTGGAAATGAAAAAATTCCAGCTCAATCATTGGCAATCATTCTACACGAAGAAATTGAAACGAGAAAATTGATTCGAAGAATTATGGTAAAATTGATTTAAATAATCGTTTCTTAGTGTTATCTTCTCATTTCATTTTGAATATATTTGAATATATTAATATACATTTATGAGTTTGGATCGAATTACATAGGAATTTATATTCACACCATACAAATTCATATGGTTTTCAAAAGTTAAAAGAGATTGAAAAGATCCGAACTTCACTTAAAGTTTGAAAGAATGTTTCAAACTTCGCGTGGTAAATATTATTCAAATTGTCTGAGATTAATTCTTAAGTTCAACTAACTTCATAATCTGAATTTTAATGTAAAGTTAGTGGATGAGCAGCAAAGTATATATAACGATAAAAATTAACAATGAATATTCGATCAAAAATTAAGGAATTAAATTTCGAATTTGAAATTTCAATATAAAATTAAATATATCATAATTTCTTTTTTGTTATAGAATCACAAATCTGACAATATATTTTATACAATCGAAAGGCTCGAAATAATTCCAAATGATCCCATTACATTAATCGTGAAGCTTATCTCAAGGCAAATATAGATACATAAGTTAAAACATATATTGGTATTTTAGCGATGGGTTTAAACGAATGAGAACATCAGAACATCACTATGACATTCCAAGCTATTGATTCAAATCCATCACTTGGATCGCGACATATTTAGATCATCGTAATAAAATAATCCTTGAAACGATCGTCGATCAAATGCAAAAAAATGAACAAATCCACGAATGTATATAGTCGAAACGTGGGAGCAGTTTCTTTCACCCTTATCGGTCGTGACCGCATACACGGTTTCCAAGTAGTCGCAGCCAGAAATAAATCTGCCTAGCTACCGTGGCGTGCCCCGCGCCACAGTGAGTGCTTTTCCAGACGCTGAAAAAGCAGTCAGATAACGTATACCAACTTCGTGTGTATGCATACAACGTTTTGCCTCCTTTCCAAAATGTTCCTCGAATCTTTCGCCCTTCTGGCGAATCCTCGTTCGTGCGATTCTTCGTTTTCGTAAAACGGGACATCAATTGGAAAGATTTCTCCCGATTAATTCGAGAGATCATTCGATTCGTCGATGGACTCTGACCATGTTCGAGATTCTTTTGAAAATTTTTCGAGGAAATTAATGGGAATTAGATTGTTTAAAATGAGAAATGGAATAATAATTATAAATTAAAAGTTTGAATTGATACAATGAAAATATTTTAAGGGGGAAAATTTACGAAGAAAAAGAAGTTTTGCACAAGTTGTTGTATAGAGATTCTTTGCTTAAAAGAAATATCCTGTTTATAGAAATCGAATATAATATGTACACCATAAAAATGATTTTTAATATAGCTTTAGAATTGAAAAAATTTCTTAATTTTAATTAATATAAATTCAAGAATCATCATGGATCGACAATGTTGAAGATTCTTTGAATGTTTCCAAGGACATCGATGGACTTTTGAAATAAATAAAAAAGAAGTAGAATAAGATTTTTTTTTTTTTT